TAACTATTTGAGTCGCAGGGTTTATCAAATCTTCAAGCAGTCGCCCAGAGAGAGAGAGTATGCAGTCGTCTATTTAAATAAACTACTAAGCATAGTGGCCCCATACTGATCTGTGTATATGAATTAACTTGCCATAAATTAAAAAAAAAAAATACGTTTGGCGTTTAAATTAATTATATGTAGTATAAAACCGAAATTACCCCCCCCCCCCCCCCTCTCTCTCTCTCTCTCTCTCTCTCTCTCTCTCTCTCTCTCTCTTTCTCTCAAATATTGTTTGCTTTTCATCCCTATCAGCACCACTTGCTTTATGGTCGTAGGGAGATGAATGGTCGTAGACCACGAGGCAGACCAAGAAGACGATGGAGAGATAACGTTCAGAGAGACCTGCAAACACTTGGTGTTACCAGCTGGAAAGAAAAGGCTAGACAGAGAAATGAGTGGAAGCGGGTGATATCTACAACAATGAACCTCAAGGGCTCGGAATGCTGGAGAAGAAGAAGAAAATATGAATAGAAAATGACTATCAGAAGATCACTTATTTCAAGTCGATAAAAAAGGGGTATTTTGTTAAAAGAAATGCCCCAAATGCTTGCTATAATAAGAAGTTAGTAGTAATTTCAGGTATTGGCACCTAATTTATGTATATAGTTTTGTTGAAGTTCCAATATGTGTATATAATATATATATATATATATATATATATATATATATATATATATATATATATATATATATCTATATATATATATAATGTCGACCATTTACTTCATCCTATAATCGGTTGTCGTATGGGCCCCAGCCACTGGTTTGCCCGGGGGCCCACAATGCTGTTAAAACTGTCCTGACTGAAACCGCACGCGACGGAGAAAGAAAACTTACATTGGTTGAATTTTGTTGTCGTGTCCGATATTGTAATTTGCAAATACAAAACCCATCCTACGAACATTTATTAAAAAGGTGGGTACTAAATTTGTAAGAGTGCCGTCCTTAGTTGTATATAGAGGTTATCTTTTTAAGATTTTGTTTATACATCAAAATTTTATTTAAAATATATTACTTCAAATATAGTATTATATTTCTTTGGTATTCAGAACATAATATTATTGTTGTTATTATTAAGTACTCAAACAAGGCTGAGACCTTTCCCATAAAATGTGTAGGCCCTCTAACCCCCCCCCCCCCCCATTGCTGATCATAGTTTTATGCCTAATTGTTTTTATTTTATTTAATGATAATGGCATCCCTAGTTGGGCACCGATTAATTTACATAATCTGGTGCTCGCACCATATGCCCTGTAGGTTTCAATGTGTGGGAACAAGACCCAGCAGAGTGACGGACATATAACCAGATTGCGACCGGTAACTATCATGTATTGGAACTCTTCGCTGGCTGCTGAAGATGAGAACGGAACATGCATAGGAATGCCCCGAGTGCTGCGATGTCAATTCTTGACTCAACTCAACTCAAAGCTAAGGGGGAAAAACACAAATTCAAACTCACATCGTATCTTCTCGTCCTTTTTAGGACGAAGTTTTTCGTTGTATGAAGCCCTACTCTGGCTCTTTCCGGGGGCCACAATATAGCCTGGCTATAAATATGGCCTAAAGGCTGAACGCGATTTCTGGGACCTCTCCACGGTGATCTTCACCCGCATGGTGGCACATTGTGTCATTGGGTGTTTATCGCTTGTGTGATGTCCTGGTGGGGTAGAAAGTCAAATTCAAACCAAGGGATGTCACTGCAAGATTAAAGACGCTACTCATTTCCGTTCCCTGCTCTCTCGGAGTCTGCCATATTGACCTTCAGTTGTAAGGTATCGTTAGCAGCGTCAACATGCCTGTTGAAAAGGTACGCGAAAGAAGGTTTTTATGGAAAAGCACTGTTTATTATCAAAGCTACTGTTATGTTTTGTTTCAGCAGGCACTTTTTGAGACAGAGAGGTGCTGGTTTTACACTTAAAATTTGGAGAGACAAGTCCCAATATCCAAGATTCTTCTTCGTGTCCACTGGCTGTAATTTACTGAACACTCCGGACCGGAAAGTTCTGATTGATTGTTCGTCCACGTCTGATTCTGGATTTTGGTTTTGCACCAGGACTTGAGTTTTGCATGCATATTTCCTTTAACATGTCAGACGTATTTATGTGTAGACATGTTTATAAAATTTATACGTACATATTTTAATTTTTATCAAAATCAAAAAGCATCGCAAGCAGAAATAATGTGATCCTGTCACTCTCACTGGCTTCATTTGGTGCTACTATTAGTATTAGTAGCTTGCAAGCCACCACTGAACTGGTTGGGAGCTTCTTTCTGTGATGATCATGGAAAGGTGTAGAGTGTTTGGGTGTAGATAGATCTTGTGTGGTTTAGCGACTGCATTCTTATCTATGATTGAATTTGACTAACTTATAATAATAATATGTCGACATTTTTGGTGCTTATGTCTCAAACTTTAAAGTTTTGAGGGCAGTTTTACAGTCCCAACACAACATGGATTCTAAATCAGCTGCGGGTGATTTGGTAGCAGACCACTAGTCGGCGGCAGTATTATTCATGTCGTGCTATTCAGTAAGCAGTAACAGACTGCAGTGGAAAATGTCAATGACTACTCAATGACAGTGTTGGTTTTGCAGTGTTCTGTAAAGGGCATGCAACTTCTGGCTTTAGCATCCTTGAAGTTCATTCTACAGATATCACTATCTTAGTCATCTCTCTGACTGGCAGCCTCTTTCCATTTGATAATTGTATGTCTGCTTGCATATTACCTCTCCACCGTCTATCTTGGTTTGTCTCTGTTATCTGCCGTTCTCTCTATATGCCCCAGCCGTTGCAGTCCAGGACACGCCATCTTTTAGTTAAAATATTTGAAAGAATAATAAAAAATATGTAGTTAAACATTTGAAAGAATAATAAATAATATGTAGTTAAAACATTTTAAAGGATAATAAATAATATGTTGGCACAATTAATCTGGTAATCTTAGTTGCAGCTTATAGCAAACAGGTCACCCCATAGTTGCTCCGCTCCTGTGTCAACAAAAAACACACAAAATGTTTATTACAGTCCCTTATGGAAAGATTGGCAGACTGCTGTCTCAGCATATGTGCTAGCATTGAACGCATACTGTATCCATCCAAAGTGTCAACACAAACAGTCCGACATTAGAAATGCAGTTCATCATGGATAGTAGCACTAGTGACTAGCAGAAGTCACCAGACGATAAGCAGTTGCAAATGCGATCAATTTTAATAAGTGACCACCAATATTGCGACAACCGGCAACGCGCCATTTTCTGAATCTATAATTCACACGACCACGTTGGTCACAGTCGAAAAACATTCCAAATTAAATTTGCAGCTCACGGTGTCATGTCACACATTCAACTCAGAAGCTGGGCAACAAAACTATATCCTTCCAGTTTACAAATGGAGCAAAGATCCAACGGCCACCGTCTGGCAGAAGCAAAGAAATTTGCCGCGGCTAAAAAAAGTGGCCATGCCTAGCGTCCATTTTGTCCTGAAGCATTATGTGAGGGTTAATAAACGTTCGCCCTAGCAGTACCCTCACTATTAGCTGGGGAAGGGACTTAGGACATTACATCCACCAGCAAGCGTCGCCCCTACAACGACCTGACTGCCTTTGTTAATGACTGTTCACCCAACAGCCATGCAGTTCTTTAGCATGAAGAAGACACCTTGAACTTGGGTTCCAGGCTGCCGACTCCCTACAAAATATGTTATCACAATCGACATCACTGCACATTGGGCATTCCCATGCGTGCTCAGTCCGCCGATGCAGCAGCCACTCCAAAGTACTTGTACCAATTGTTCCCACAATTAATGCTCCTAGATGGCGACTATGCAGAACTTAAGTATCTGACTTAATTTATAATTTAGGATAACTAATTTGCGATGCTAATTATAAAATAGGAGCTACAGTGGCCAGATGTGTAAAATGAATGTACACGTGAAACTCAGATTCTGGAACCACACTAAAAGTCCAGAAGTAGATGAACAACCACAATTTTCAGCCAGAGCTACTGAACGTGAAAAAGGAGGCATTGCGGTTAGGTCTAGCCTACCTTCTGGGCCAGTTGTCGAAATAACCTGCCTTGCTTATATCCACCACCTTAAACAGTCAGTGGCCATTGGTATCCAAATGTTATTGGTTGGCTCCCGAAGCACCAACAATAGCTGTATTTAATGGATAGTGCTGGGGTGTGTAGACTGTCTACTGCATTATGACACAGCCATTGATGAATCAGCCAAGCTCAAACTGCTTGAGGCCAGAACTGGACTAATCAATGTAACTATGTGCATATGCAATTAGCTTGTGCTGTTAAAACAAGCAAGTCACTGACCTTTGGCAGAGTAGTCAGCAGTTTGCTGCAAGTATGGTGACTTCTTTTTGTGCATTACAGTAATTTATTTGCATCGTTTGTTGTATCAGGAGAGGCTCAACACTTGTCTGCCATTACGAATATCTTTTGTTTTAACTGGCACAGGGGCAGATTTTTTTTTTTTAACAACTGACCTGGGCTGCCATTGATTTCAGGAAAAAATTGGTACCAGGACGTGTCCTGGAAATTGAAGTTTTACCAAATTAGCTATCACATGCCAATTGGGTTTTGAAAATATATTTGTGTTACCATTTACCCAATGAGTCACTGGCATGATAAAGGTTACCGACCCCTCACACACACTTTTTGTAGTCACTTTTTAAAATTCAACACTAGTCACCTGTGATAATCTAAACTAGTGATCCCAAATGTTGGGTCCAGGGAACAGATTTAAGGGATCCGTGATGTCATATAGATGAAAACCTTAACCTTTTTTTTCAATACTATTGTAAATTTATGCATTAAAAAAAATATTTAGAGTAAAAAGAGGTTTTTCTGAAGACCTTTTAAAAATAAGAGGGTCCCTGAGTCTTATCTAGTTGGGTAACACTGATGTAAACAACTAATATATTCTGTCCACTGTTAACATTTCTGGCAGATTCGAGGTGGAGGTGAACATTTCAAGTACCCATACACTTTATTTGCAAAAGTGCAGCAGTTTCCCTTCAAGTTTTACTGGAAGCATGGACGATTTTTCCGGTTTTACTTCTACACCGCTGCTCTCCTTCTGCCATGCTATGCTTACCTAGGCAAACTCAGTAAGTGTTTATATTATTTCGCACCTTCATGGGTTTTTAAGATCTTTGTGACTTTGTGTTTTTTTTTTGTTTTTATGTTGTCGGGACCTTTCCTGGTAAAAGTACTTACACTGTGCTAAAGAGAGGCATTGGAATCAAAGGTTCCCCTTGTGGGTTCCGGGGCCCTGCTATAGGGAAAACAAGAATAGACCCACTGCCTACCCAAAAGCATATAAGAGTCGACTAATTGGGAGCTTCCTTCGAAGTTGGAGTGCATCTGCCTGAGAGGCAAGGAACCAACAGTCTGCATACAAATGAGTCGGATCTGTAAACGGATGCTTATGCAACACTCAGGTTCTGCATCAGGACTGCAGTCTAGAAGTGGAAGAAAGACCAGAACTTTCTGCCGGAGTTTACAGCTGGTGAACACAAAGAAGAAGAAGAATCAAAGGTGATGGCAAGTAAGACCAGCTTGTGTTGGGAAAAGAATTCCTGCTTTCCATGGAACAAAGCCTGGGTACATAGATTGGGGTATTGCAGTTTTTAATTTTCATCGATAGTGTTTATGCCTTTTGCCTGACATACAGAAGACCTCCTGCCCCCCCCCCCCCCCATCACTTTGCAGAACAATTGTGTGTTGTATAGAGGTTACAGCTCAGCTGCAATAACACATCCAGTTTCTGGAAACTCCTTTTTAATCGCCTATTTTGAGATTCTTATTCGCGAAAAAGGGGGGGTCCAATGGGTTCTCAGAACCCACACAGGCTGTCAACTCTTCTGTATAAATGCAAATTGGGGATAGGGAGTAATGAAGCTGTTAAGTTAGTTGCGGATCCTTGACAGGACGTTGCAGAACCAACCCCAGCATTTTTTTTTTACTGTTATGGTTTTTCTAGGCAAATAATACGTTCAGAAGTTTGTCATTGCTTTCTGAACAGTCAGCTGACGGTACCACTATTGAAACCAATTAAGACAAACTGGCAGCTGGGATTGAAACATGGCAACGCCGAAGCCATGGATGCCGAACATTTTTGAAGCTGTAGAAAAGTTTATAGGTGGACCCTTTTCCACACCTTTATGGGTATTGTGTGTATAAGGCTAGACCTATACTTTATAGACCAATCGGCTCTAGGTGGGTGATGTGGTCACCATCACGCCGGCCACCTTTGCTTCCCAGGACTGTACCTAGGAGCCAAGGTCATTTTTGAAAGAGGTCCGGCCCCCGTCAGGAACCAAACCCACGATCTTCCGATCCACAGGCGAGTGTCTGGCCCTTAGACCATGGCCGCTTCCTTGTAAGAAAAAGACATTATATTAATGGGATATGCCAGTCGAAGAGAGTGTATACAGAAATTCAGTTAGCTTCGTGTGTGTGGAAAGTAGTGGGCAGCCAAAGCAGACAAATGTATGTTGACCACATCACCCATTCAGCAGTGATTAGTTTTCATAAATATACATCTAACACTGTATACTTTCTGGCTTAGAGGTTATAAACACAGTTGCACAGTTAAGGCTACCAGTGAACATCAGTTTGAAATTAATAGCAAACTGCTGAACGTAAAACTGCCAAGAAAAACCACACCCGCAACAGCCAATAAAGGCTGGGCTTGGTTTTTGCAGCGTCCTTAAAAGGACATGCACCTAATTGATAACTTGTCCCTATGTCATTAGACAGATAGTCATCCATTAATTTCTAATCATCTGCTTACTCTTAAATCTAAATTCGAGATTCTACTGCCTTTAAAAAAAAAGAGAAATTTTTTTCTTCCTCACATTCAACAGCTGTAAACTCTGGCGGAAGGTTCTGGTTGTTCATCCACTTTTGGACTGCACTCCTGTGCCAGAACCTTAGTGTTGAGTGTGCATCCATTTTACAGATCTGACTCATTTGTATGCAGACTGCTGGTTTCTTGCCTTTCAGGCAGATGCAGTCTGACTTAGAAGGAAGCTTCCAATTTGTCGACTCTTACGACATGCTTTTGGGTAGGCAATGGGTCTCTCCCCCTCCCCACCCCCACATAATAGGGCCCCAGAACCCATACGAGTGGGGGGGGGGGGAGAGAAATTCTGAAGTAATAAAGAGTATGAGTTGATATGCAGTTGTGCTAGTTATTGTTATGTTTCATTGTCATTTTAAAAATTTATTTTACGATATTAAAGATGGCATCTCAAGAAGAGGATGATTAAGTTGATAGTTGTAATTGGTGGGCTTCTTTGAAAAGACACCAGTTTCATTGTGACTCTATATCTTGTTGTGCTAAATACTTGTTACATACAGTTGGCATTCAACTCTTCAGTTCCATTGTCAGAAGCTCTCTGTATCGTATATGTAATCCTGTTCAGTACCTCTTGCCTCTCTAGCGTCTGTTGTAGGATTTCTGTTGGACTTCTTGCTACTTCACTCCATTTGTTTCTACTGTATTGTAATTATTTCTTCTACAACTAAAAGAATACTCAGTATTTCATTATCGCCTTTCTCTGATTGTCCAGACAAGTCTCAGATTTCTGTTTTTTTACTTCAGACTTTTGTTTTATAGTTTCTTCATTTTCAGCATTTCGAGCCCTGCAGATATCATCCACCTCCATTCATCTCTGTGATTGGCCTTTTGTTTCTAGTTGGTGGTCCCCATGTACGTCTGCCTGCATATTCTCTCTCCATTATCCTTTTAGTCTGTTTTTTAGCCTACGCACGTTAAACTTCCATTATATTTAAAAGCATAGAATTCAGTTTTATTGATTTATGCTTTCACCTTGAGTATGTCACGTATCTAATTATGCTCAGTTTTCCAGAAGAGCACAGAATATGTGTATGTAATTTTTTTTCTTACAGCTAATGCACCCGCAAATGTGAAAAAGTGGGAGGAGATTAGAGCCAAAAGACGCCGTAAGTGTATAAGTCTGGATTTTTTCTTGAGTGCTGTACTGTATCGTTATTTCATGTCCTGGTTTTTTTTTTTTTTTTTTTTTTAAGTTTCAGCCATGAGATTGATTTGTTGTAAAGCATCATGTCACAATAATTACAACTCATTCACATGTGAACAATCAGGAAATCTCCTTTATTTCTCTGAGACGACGAATAGCACTTCGTACTTGTGCTGCAGCTGTGGTCGAGTAAACCCAGGCACCACGTGCAACAGTTTTAAAACATCTGTTGCATTTCCAAATGCCAACAGCCATTCTCGTGGCTTTCTTTCCACAAAAGGGGCATGTGTAGGTGCTGTGTTATGTAACCTCTATTTGCTTGACAATCTTTCTAAGTGAGGCACCAAATCTGGTACCATACCTGCCAACAATGTCTTCCTTCTTGGTTGGCTTGGCCATTCTTGACTGTCGATTTCATTCTATGTCCTGTTTAGTCATCTCCAATGACATTTTCCTCAGAAATGAGATATCTGAGAAAGGTGGTCCAAGTGACAAAAAGGGGCGCAGTTCACAACCAGACAATACATCAGGATCTTAGAACCCAGCTTTTACAAATTCAAGTGGATCAGTCAGTTACTATTTTTTGGACATGCAGGCAGAATAGAAGAGAATCAGCAAGCATGGGATACCATGGAACCAGACACCCAGAATTCACTGGGAAGACAGTATCCAACAGTCTGTGACTGATGATTGGCCTAAAAGAAAACTATCTAGAAAGAAGTCTAGTGATCTTTCTGGCCAACCTCTATACCTCAGGGTCGAAGAACTTCACATTTCCTTTTTCTAATTGGTTGGTGTATTAACACTTTGAACAACCTGTGGCGAAGCCATGCTTAGATAGTATATTTGCAGTGACAGTAGATGCTGGACACGGACAGTAAACATTTTTCAAATATTTCTGAGGTGTGTTGGCTAGAACAACATTATTCTTGTGGCTTTTAGTCAGTGATATGAGAATCACACCATAGAAGATATTGGTGACCTATCTACATATTTCCAAAGGTAGTGATGGATGTACTTATCCATTACAGCCACCTTCCTTGTGAAGGTGGCACACATTATTTGCATGTATGTTTTATTCAGCTGTATTTTTAAATGGCTTTTGTTTTCACAGACACATTCTTCGACCTGCCTCATGACTAGAACTCATCTGCTTCGCTCTGGGTACAAACTACATGTGCAGAATGAGCTTAACATGTGATGTCACCGCCCAGCCCATAAATTAATTAGCCTTGAATAGTTATAGTTTGTCGTGCACTGATGGGTTGTCTGTTTATGTTCCTCAGTATAAAATTGCTAGTTGTTTAATAAATGTAAGAACCTTCTTGTATTGAAGTTGTAATTTGTGTTTCTTTGAGGTTGTTTGACAGTTGCTGTGCTTGAATACGAGTGGGGGGGGGGGGGGGGGGGACATTAGTTTTTGAATGGCAGTAAGAAAGAAAGAACCCCCCCCCCCCCCCCCCCTTTTTTTTTTTTTTTTTTTTACGCCATGGTGCGGCAGGCAAGTAGTGGTAAACACTCTTTTTTTATAGGCCTGTTGGGATTTGAAGGGTGATATGGCCGGTATCACACTGGTTCAGTTTACTTCTCAAGATATTACCTGGTACCAGTTTTAAGCTGGTTCGACCAAGGAGCCAAGTTTATTTTTGAAAAACATAACCTGATGTGGATTCAAATCGAGTCTTCAGGTTGACTGGCAAGCATTTAGCCAGTGTGCTGCATGGCTGCTGTTTATGACAGACTTTAAATTAATTGTGGCAGACAATCATCCTGGCTACCAGAATTTTTTCTCTGCACTCGGAAATTTGTGAAAGTTAAAAATTTAAACTTTTATGAAACTTAAAATATTAGCCCTTTCGCCCTATAAAAGTCTGTTTAAAAAAGTAATCTTTCCAATTTCGTTTAGCAAGCACATCCTCACAGTTCTGTGAAACTCTACCTTACTCTAATAAATTCTACATAAGTAAGTAAAAAAGTAAGTAAAGGACCCTTTTCCACGCCTTTAGGCATATAGGGCTAGACCAATATTTTTATAGACCAACCGGTACAAGATGGGTGATGTGGTCAGCATCACGCCGGCCGCCTCTACTTCCCGGGACTGCACCCGGTATCCACTCAAGGCTGGGTCGACCTGGGAGCCAAGGTCATTTTTGAAAAAAAGTCCGGCTCCACCAGAAAGCGAACCCATGACATTCCGACCCGCCACGAGCGTCTACCCGCTATGTCACAGGGATTCCCCTACACTAGAACATGCAGATAACATTTAGAGTTTGTTTTTATATCCAGGGGGGTCAAACTCATAGACCGCTGGGCACACAGGCAGGTATCAAGAATGTTTCTTTGATATCACACACACAAGAAAAATGTCAAGTAACAATGAATAAATCAGGGGATGGAATCACTAAATGTAAATGAAGAAAAAGTCTACTAATTTCCTACCCTTTGACAATTTCAGTGTGGTTTTGTCAACTTTGCAACAGATAGCGATGTGATGAAATAATTAATCTATATATGTTGTATACTTTTTAGTGAATATATAATAAGATCTTTAATTGATGTGCCCGGAATTGTGGTTGGTGGGTACAATATAAACAATTTATGCTGATGACACAGTCTTGATAGCAACAAGTCAGAAAGAATTACAGGAAATGATAGACATTGTGGTGTTAGAAAGTGGAAGAATGGGCCTCAGTTTGAATACTGGGAAGACAGAAGTAATGGTGGTATCAAAGAAACAAATTATTCCTAAATGTGTAATAAAAGTCAATGGTGTTATTTTAGGACAAGTACAGAAATTTAAGTATCTGGGCACATGGATAACATCAGATGGAAGATGCATAACTGAAATAAGAAACAGAATTGGACAGGCAAAAACTGCATTTTATAAAATTAAAAACATCTTGTGCAATATATCCTTGTCATTGAGAGTTAGAAAAATAATTCTTGCTTGCTACATACATCCAGTTTTAACATATAGCTGTTAATCCTGGACAATCGGTAGGCAGTCCAAACAGTTTTTAGAGGCTTCAGAGATGTGGTTTTACAGAAGAATGCTTAGAATACCTTGGACAGCCAAAAAGAGCATCCAAGAGGTTTTGAAAGAGGCGGAAGCCCAAAGACAACTTATCACAGACATCAGAAGGAGACGGCATCATTTTTCTGCGATGTTATGAGAAATGGATTTTTTATCGTGGAATGGGGCGTCGCAGGTCAACCCAGCCTCAAATGGGTACCAGGATGGCTGTCCTGGGGAAGCAAAGACGGCCGGCGTAATGCTGACCACATTACCCACCTAGTGCCGATTGGTCTGTAAAAATATGGGCGCTCTTCCCATATGCCCAATGCGCCTAAAGGCTTGAAAAGGGATCTTTACTTTTTACTTTTATGAGAAGAGGGAAAATAGAACATGTGACCACTAGAAAGATCTGTGGGAGGAGGGATAGAGGAAGACAACGAGAGAAGATGCTTGACAGTCTTGTTACATGGAGGTGTGTTGGCGCACGAACTGATAAATGCTGCAGGAGATCGCAGATTATGGAGAGGCATGATCTCCCACGCCAGTCGGCAAGGCACCTGATGATGATTATGATACTTTTACACCCAAAATATGGGGGTTAAATATACTCAGACCCACCTTGTCTACACATTATGCAGAAGGTACCATAGCTGTCAAACATGCATACTGTGCATATATCCACAGACACAATGTCAATCCAAAACCTATAAAAGCCAGAAAAACGGCTTTCTTTGATGAGGTTAAACTAATTAATGTAATTGAATCCTGCTGTATGAGGTTTGAGACAGAGAATGATACAAATAATTGTACATACAAACAATTTATTGCCAGGCATATTTTCGCTTTATCTCATCAGGTGTGTTACTACAGAGTTACATCAACATAAAATAAAGCACACAACTGAATAAATTGAACTGAAATGCAAATAGTTTTTTCGATACATTGTCTCTGTTTCATGGCCTCTGAAAAATGCCTGGCAATAAATTGTTTGTATCCGCATTATTTAAATTCATTACGGGAAAACATTGTTTCGAATTGAACATAAAAAGTTTTAAAAAATAATTGCGTATCCTTTACATGACGTTGCAGAACCAACCCTAACAGCCCCTGGCTGTTGTGTGTTTTCATTAGGCAATTTACGTCCAGTAGTTTGCCATTGCTTTCTTGATACCACTGTCGAAACCAACGCAAGGCGCATTGCCCGCAGCTGGGATCGAACCTGGCATTACGAAGCAAAGCGTTCGCATCGACTTAGCCACAGAGCCGACGAATTGAACATACATTTGGGTAATTTTATAATAATTGTGCAGAAAGGAATAAAATAGTGTGGGGGAATTTACATCTGGGTGATGATTAAAACACATTTCAGGAACAGCCAGCAACTGCATTGATATGTGTGTACGGTTTCTTAAAAAAAAAAAAAATGTTTCTGTATTCATGCAGCTGCAGGAGGTTCTCAAGAAGGTTTTCAAGGTTGAAGAATCTTTAAAAACACTGGTTTCTACATAAGTAAAGCCCCTGCCTTCAGGTGAATTAAGCATAGAGGGCTAGACCTAAATGTTATCAACCAGTCGGCACTCAGTGGGTGATGGGGTGAACATTTGGACGGCCGCATTTACTTCTCAGGACTACCTGGTAGCCATTTAAGGCTGGGTCGAATTGGGAGCCAAGGAAGAGTGGCTCAATCAGGACCTGAAGGCACGACTTTCTGATCCACAGGTGTGCTCTAGCTACTGCACCGTGGCCTGCTACCACTAGCTTTTAGATATCAATTTTTAAAAAGGATTGTGTAAAATAGAATACAGTGTAAATCTTACTATAACTACACATTTTAGCTTTATGGCTCCTAATTGTTGAACTCATTCCTAGACCTAATTACAGAACATAGGGGGGTTACGTGGTCTCGAGGAATGGTTTCCGCCTAGAGTGCTTGAGGTGCTGAGTTCAATCCCCGGTAGAACTAGGATTTTTTCTACGTTTTTCTACGTGTGGTTGGACTTCTAGTAATTCCCCCTGCTCTCTGGGTTGTGAGATCGGACGCCCGTGAGCATTGTTGCGCACGTAATAAATCCATTGGCAGTTGGAACTTGAAAGAAGTAGCCTAACGGCGCTGGCCAGGAAAAACTTTGAGTTAAAAATCTACCCAAAGTACTTCATGATCTTCGCCGGTGCTTCAGAGCCTGTGCACTGTGCTTAGCTTCTTTAGACTGACTTGAGTTAGAACAACAACAGAGCACTTATTGGTTACAACCTGTGTGCCATGATGTTGATCCGTTGTTCAAAACCCCTAAAATTACAGAACAAACGCGGCAGAAGTACTAGACCTTATCATCAATGTGAAAACCATCTTTGAGAAATACAGAGTAGACCTTTATTCTCATTTCAGAGAATCGGAACAGTTAATCTTGTATATTAAAGCACAGGCAGACTCGGAAAAAATGTAAATTATAACACGGATTTATTCAAGAAAAACATGACAAATTTTTGAAACGCTGGAAGCCTGGGACAACCACTTGTGTCCGTATTATAAGACAAAAACGGTGGCGATAAATCGGGAATCACCAAAACAGGCACTGAAATGAGCGCAATAAACGGTACAACAGGAGGATCAAAAACACGTCATCATCATTCTTTCTGCCATTACATATCACAAATGGCTTGCAGTCTATTCCTCCATTACATTCTATAACTTTTAGTGTTTCTTTAAAACTCCAATTCACCTCCTTTGTAATCCTATCATGGGAAGATATAAAACCGAATGAAAAGTAGATTAGCGAGCTTCACAATCTAACAACACACGAATGACAGTGAACGTTCCGGCTACAGAGCCTTCATCAGCACAAATATAAATCAAACAAACCCACATAATAACTTGAACTGGAAAATCCCGAAGCAGCCACGTTGATGT